GGGTTTGCCTCAGGTGAGCTCACCCCGTTGACATCAGGTGAGGAGACTGCATACCAACGATCAACTACGTCAATTCATGTATCGACATAAAATAGGATACAGAAACAAAACCAGTATAACCAAGATTGAATCAGAACCTCATTTCTTGGCGGTGAGTCCAGCCTTGCTGTTAACAGTTCTACTTTTCCGATGAACCTCGAACGATTTTATAGGAGTACTGAGGAAAACTACTTGCCTTTCGTTTTAATTGCCTCGTGAATTAGAATGCAGTCAAAACAAGTTTACTGGCTATCGATGAGGAGAACAAACAGAACTGGGAGGAAAGCTGGAGGCTTTATAAGAACGCACTAAATGACTTCCATACGGCCCACAACTGTTTGTCTTGCGATCTGAGTCTCAAGCTCTCCACTTTCTGGCGCCTCATCCATCGTACATTGAATGTCTGACCTATCATCATCATATTTATTTATTTTCGCTCCTTACACTATTTTAAATCACCAAAACAAATATCATCCAGACGCGATCGACCCCAAGTTGAAAGACTTAATCCGGAGCGAAATACAAGAATTTTCTACCAGAGTTGAGAAACTCAAAACTCACTTCCAGGTAAAAATGATAAGATCGCAGAGCAAAAAACCGCAGGCATACACAACCGATTCAAAGTTCGAACAAAGTTGACATTTATCCTCTATTTTTCTTGCGCTTGATCACAAGGCACCAGATGATGAACGAGTGGGACAGATCGTGAGTGTCAGCGAGGAAGATAGAAATGGGAAAGGGGTCTCTGGGTGAGATAACCTCCTTTACAATAATTTGGCTAGATCACAAGACTCTAATTATCATCATTTTGTCCTTGCATAGAGCTCTTCATGAAAGTGGAAATGACGCGGACGCTGAAAAACTACGAGGAGGTCTTCCAGGTGAGAAATAGCCTCTTTCGTTGCATGGCTGTCACCTGACATAGACAATTATAAGAAAGGTCAGATCTTCATGAACTCCTCTCTCTATCTCTCTTTTTTTTAGACGAGATCGTGGTCGAGACACCCATCGTTACGTACGGTGATATAGCAGGATTGAAGAAGGCGAAAGACAGCCTCAAGACTGCGGTTTTCAGATGCCAGCCGACTCTTTTGTACGGTACTGCAGGACCAGGCATGAGGTGTTTAACCCAAGCGGCAGCCGCAGAAAGCAGAAATACATTCTTCTCAGTTAGTTGTAGTGATCTGCTTAGCAAACCTATCGACGAAAGTGAACGGTGCGCATGAATTTCCAATGATTATTGCACCTGTCAATACAACCACTGCCTGTTTCTCGATTCACTTAAGTTCACTGAAGCCATCTCTTTCGTTTAGCTTGCTCAAACAGCTATTCAAAGTGGCTCAAGAAAACAAGCTGGCAATCATTTATATCAATGGAGTTGATCTCCTGTGTGGCACGAGTGAAGTGGGAGACTCCGAGCCTGCTCGTAGGATCAGGACTGAATTGACTTTCCAAATGGACCCAGCTAATGTCATACCTCCGGTGGTTAATACCTGGCATAAAAGTCGGCTAGGGGTAAGTGTAGTGGCGGCCACCGATGTCAGTTTTGTTTCTCTAGTCTACATATCTCGGATTTCGTGGCCCTGTTGTGAATTGTTGTTGACGCCTGGGAACAACTTTTTGTGGAGAATAGTATCCTTGGCGCTTAGATGTCGCCTGCCTGGAAATGTTCGACCAATACATATTTGTTCCCTTGCTCGAAGGGAATGTCAAGCCGCAACAAGACCTTTCAATGCGACCATCAGGGTGAGGTTGTAAGGAAGTTACTGCTTTCAAATCGCGTCTGACTCCCCTTGTGATTCTTCTTCCGATAGTATGTCTGCAACAGAAATTTTTGGCATCGCGCGAGATGCGCGTATGCAACCCTTTGTGAAAGTGTTGGATGCCACTCATTTCAAACAAGTCAGTCGCCTCCAGTGGCCAATCCCAATTGGGCTGCAGATGACTAACTCCGCTTTTTCATTTTCAATCTTTCCTTCTGCTGATGGCTTGTTTAATTAGTTAATTATTCCACATCCAAGTCACAACAATTGGCCGCCACTCTTGTGTGAGATGTTGACCCCATGTTCCCCTGAAGACTCACTTGCGATCAAGAAGAAGTGGCACGAAATCGGGCCCACGGAGCTACTCGTCCCGTACCTTCAAGAACCTGGTCTCATTGCGGATTTGAGTCGGTATCCGAAGCGGGTTACACATGAGGATGACAATCGACACTTGCTGTTCCAGACGTTACTACAAAGCTGGCGTTCGCAAGCTCCTGGGATCTGATTTTTTTTATTTTCTTCCCACTTTTTTTTGTGCCTCGTAATGTACACATGACTGTACAGGCTGCGAATCTGCTGCCGAGGCCGGGTGAGGCCTCCAGGCACCTGTTGGTTGCCTGGTGGGGGCCTGACTTAACTAAGCCTCCCGGAATGGGGGTGCAGAGCACCCCGATGCGGAGCATCTCCCATATTCCGGCTCAATTGGAACATCTTGAGCCAGGCGCATTGCCTCGTAGTAAGCGGGTAGCAATAACTCATCGTGTTTGAGTCTTTTGAGCAGCTTAGGGTCAGGTAAGTGGATGTAGCCCCATGTCCCGCGGAAGGTATGAGACCGATTCCCAACAGACAAAGCATGGACCTTCTCGACCATGTCAATATTATCTATACAAATGGATGGGCCAACAGGCTCGTCAACTTTCCCCGCCATAGCAGCTTTCAACTTAGACTGAGCGCCTTTAGCCAACGTCCCCAATGCCGCAAGTGCCGTCCATCGGGATGAAGCCAGTCCAATGAAGTTCATGTAATCATGGACTCGCTCCGACATGCCACAAGCCAAGAAACGGACACCATTGACCAACTGGAGGGCATTGGCCCGTCGGTTAGAGGCAAAACACATCATCGAACAGATTGTTGTGACAATCTGTGGTCATTACAATGATTGTGCATCAGCAACGATCACTAGGGTAGCCGAACAAGTATCAGACCAGCTTACACGATGATACCTAAAGGTCACCCTGGCCTCCCCAGTCAAACGTCGGGTGTATGCGACCACATCAAGATCAATCGGCATGTCATCCTCATCACATTCCGTCAGGTACTCATCCTCAAGCTCGTCGTCCCTCTCGGGCGAATTGCACCGCCCGCGCTGATGATGAAGAGATCCCACCAGGATGTTGTACAAGAACGGCATGTGAGTAGACGTAAGCAGCACCTCGCGCTTCTCCTTCTCCTCTGGGCCAAGGTACTCCCTTGTGACTGTTGTTGAACTCTGAAAGGCCCCAACAGGATGATTCCCTTTGGGGGGTTGTTGACTTGCCAATAACTTGATAGCCTAAGAACAATCTGACGATCAATATTTACATTCAGTGGAGAGAGACTTCCAAATCTTACCTCTTTTTCAATAAATTTGGCCCATGCATTCCGTCCAGTAGCGGAACTCTTCAATTCATCCGCAATTGCCTCGACCAAGACGATAGTTGAGTCAACGGCCGACTCTGCCCAATAGCGCCGCCGGTAGGCTAAATCTGAGTTATCAGATTGTAAGAAGTGCAGCAAGAACGACTTTGGTGTCATCTTGCAAGGTAATGATTGGAGCAGTTCACAAACGGTGATCGCTTTGGAATCCATCGTATGAGATATCAGTAGTGCCCGGAATTAAGCGGTTGGCAATTAGGCAATTGGAAAAATGGGATGATTGACTGGTCAAGGCATGCAATCGATCATCCCAGGCCATTTAAGCGACCGGCCAGGTCCTTACGGATTTATATGCTACAGATTCTATAACTTTTCCTCATCTTAATGTTTATGTCCTATGTTTCATCGTACAGTTTCATACAAGAGATGGTGCGGTGTTTGTTGGAATTTTTTTCAGAAATACAGAATTGGACGGAGGTCAAACCAACCTCAATCCTAAACTTCAGGCCCAAATGAGGGGGGGATGCGCCAAGCAGTCAACGTGTGTTGACCATGGAAAGAAGCGGAAAAATTCCCTCATCATTCTAGTCCTGAAGGCAGAAACCCCGTGTCTGAGGAAGACAGTGGAATTGCAGGGGGGAAATTGCTCCCACTGAAAATGGCCCAAGCCCCCAGGCCAAATGCGACACATGACCTGCAAGTCCCTCCTTCGGAGGCTCGCTTTGCGCCAGCCTGGCTTTACCAGGCCCTCCAATTGAGGGGCTTGTGTTAAGTCAGGTGGGGGCTAGGGGACACTCAATGTCCCTCCAGGCACCTGTTGGTTGCCTGGTGGGGGCTAGGGGACACTCAATGTTGTGAACACTCCTAACTCAGAAAAATGAGAGGAATCCAATGGTCCAACTGCCATATCTTCAGGGGGAGTTGGGCCATGATGCCTGGAATATCATGGCTGTACGAGGCCACGTACAGGACAGAAAAGCAAAGAAAAATTGAGGCACAAATAAAAAAAATTTTGGGATCCCTGGAGCTTGCCTAACTTAACTAAGTCCCACTTTATTCGGACGGGGGACACTGTCCCGCAGGGACCCTCCAAAGGAGGGACTTATGTGCTAAGTCACCCTCCTTGCCCATGAGAATTAGGAAAAAGTGGCTTTTTTGGCAAGCTTGCTACAAGGCCGTTCACTAGCACATCACCCCACAAGCGGTGTCCCAAAATGAGCAGCAAATGCTGTAGAATCACACAGTGGCCTCCATGATGGCGGGAGGGCACCAACTGTTTTCACAGCAGAACATTTATGAATGCAACTGGAAGTTTGATTCTTTTTGTTCATTTTGTACAGCCCACTGTATCTGACACTCAAGACCAGCTGCATAGGATACAGTGACTCAAATCAACTTCTTGAGCCATAGTTTTTATGTAACCTGGTGGATACAGGGCACTCGCATGGAAGACTGTCAGCGCCGGTCTCTTATGTGACCTGGCGTTGATGGGGTTTACGGGTCACACTATAACTGCTAGTGTTACTAGCAGCCAATGGATGAGAAACCTCGCCTCGACGCTAGAAAGCGGAGGGGTTAAGCTCCCTAGATTTATAGGGGACGCGTGCGGTAGAGTCTTCGCAGCGCCGGGCTTCAGAGGAAAATCAACTCTCTTCTAGGCTACAGTATTGACTTTACTGTAGTCTAGGGATGAGATAAAGTGATAAGGATAAGGGGGATGGATAGTAATAGATTAAATAATAACCCCACTCACAATTGTATGTAAGGTGCACGGGTTGTATGGTAATAATCTCTGGGGGGAGGATTCTTGGGAAGAAGACCTCCCTCTTAAGTATTACAAAGGCAGGGGTCAACCTGCCTGTGAGACCGGTGAAGCCTGCAGAGGATCATTTATGTACATAATCATAAATGATCAAAATATGTATTTAAATTAAGATTAAACTAGAAGTGGAGGAAAAGATGTCATTCAAGCTCAAAGGAGAAAGAATGATGTCATCTCTCTAATTACAGTGTATAGAGAGATGATTAAGATTTCAGACTGTATGTATATAGAATATGAATATTAATACAGAGGTGAATACTTAAGTAATTCCGTGGAATTACTTAAAGCATAAAAGTATAAAAATAAAATAATAAAAATATAAGATTACATAATTGGGATTTGAACCCAAGTGTGTTGGTGAGGCAAAGTCATAACACAGTCCTTAACCAATACACTACAGTACATGTGTTTGTTGGTAAAGTACAGGTTGTAGACACATGGGCTACAGCCTCAGTGTCTGACATTCGCCCCCACCAAAAAAAATTACTCTATGAGGAATTTTTTGACCTCTTGGAAGCCCTGAATTGTCTTAACAGAACCTGACAATTCTTAATCTTATCAACTTCCAACCACATATCTTGGTCAGGTTGACAATTCTTAAACCTAACCAAATAAAGTTTACAGTCTTTGCTTTGTTTTCTGACAATCTTCTCACCTAAAATTTTGTAAGGGACTTTGTCTGATACCTCAGTTTCTATAGGAGGAAGGATTGCATCTTGCTCAACTCGCAAGGGATTAGTTGTAGGATCAACGTACTTTTTACACAAACTTATAGGAAAAGTGGGATGTCTTTGGCTAAATTGTTCTGTAAGGATCACCTCCACGGCATTCCTTCCATGAAATGCCTTGATAACAAAGGGTCCAATAAAGGCATCTTTCAATTTTCTAGGGCCAGCCAAGTTATTAAAATTTACTGTGGAAATTAAAACTCGTTCACCCACTTGTAAGTCATGGTCCTTATGAGATTTATCCCATCTTTCTTTATTATATTCAACTGCCTCCTTCACGCATGAACTTGCTTTTTCTTCAGCTTTAAACATCATTTGCTGAAAACACTCAGAACTTGGATGTAAAGTAACAGTCTTAGAAAGTAGAAAGTCCTTAGGCATACTAGGGATCCAACCTCTCTCAAGTTCAAAAGGAGCAATTTCAGTTACTGAATGTTTGCTAGAGTTGTAAGCAAATTCTAGTGCGGGCAAGAGGGACACCCAATCATGTGTATAACCATCACTTGTTTTAAAGTCTAAACCATAGGCACAATATCTTCTTATCATGTCTTCTAATGTTTGAATCATTCTCTCAGCTAACCCATCCGTTTGAGGATGATAAGCAGTTGAAAAAGCTAACTTGGTACCCAGAATTCAAAAAGATTTTGCCAAAAATCAGAAGTAAATTTTGGATCTCTATCACTTATAATTATTCTAGGGCAACCTACATCACTTACTATGTTGTTCCAAAAAATGAGTGCTATATCCATAGCACTACTATCCTTGTAACAAGGGAGGAACCTAGCTCTTTTGGAGAATCTGTCACAAACTACTAACACTGCATTAAAATTTTCAGTCCCTGCAGGTGGTAAAGCTGTCACGAAATCCATATTGATTATTTCCCAACGAGTCTTAGGTTCCTCAATAGTTTGTAAAAGGCCAAATCTTTTGCCAGTTGCTTTGTTGGCCTTTTGGCATCTCTCACAAGAGTCACAGTACTCAGACACCTGGTTTTTCCAATCAGGCCACCAAGCTAGGTTTTGAACTCTATTCAAGGTTCTTTCTTTAGAAAAGTGGCCAGAAGTAATACTGTCATGACACTCATTCAAAATAATACCTATGTGGCTAGGATCTAACAAAACCACTGATGAGTTATGTTCACGTCTGTGATATAATAACCCATCTAGCATGACAAACCTGTCTTCTAAAAAGTGTTTTTTCCAAACACCTTCTAATCCTTCTATAAGACCTTTGTCTGCGTATGGTGACTTAAGCAATTTCTTAAGAATTACCGTGTTACTGTTAGAGTCATAACTCTTCTAAATCAGTTCCCAGAATGAAGAAGACAAGCCTGATACTGAAATAGCCATAATAGGATGCTGTCAACAAAGTATTCTTTTCAAAGGCTGGGTTGTTTCGTCATTAGGCAAAGCCCAATGAGCTAGACATTCAGACATCCTCATTGGAGATGGCAAAATAGAAGTAACCGAAGTTCCAGTCTCTGCATCTTCTGCATAGTAGGCAGGATTATCTGGATTATTGGGAAGAGCCCACCTTGAAAGGCCATCTGCATTCTTATGGATAATGCCTTCCCTATGAACAATCGTCATAGAACCTCTCCATTCTTGGATTGCAATTTGCCACCTAAGCATGTGCCTGTTGGGTGTCTTCATATTTAACAAAGATCTTAAAGCGTTGCAATCCGTGATCACATCAAATTCACATCCATCAAGATAATAATAAAGTTTATCCAGTGCCCAAACCAAGCAAAGGCATTCTAGCTGAGAAGCTCCATATTTCTTTTCAGATTCTTTAAGTTGCCGTGAGATAAAACAGATGGGACCTTCCATAGGTTTGTCATCAATTATCTGTACTTGATGTAAGGCAGCTCCTATACCTTCCATACAAGCGTCCACATAAAGTTTAAATATTTCTTTAGGGTCAGGATGAAACAACAGAGGTGCATTAGTCAAGGCAAACTTAATGGATTCATAAGCTTGTACTCTTTCTGCTGTCATTTCAAAGACTACAGTAGGACTACATAATTTGTAACGACTTGAAGCCATAGCCCCAAAGTCTTTGATGTGTAGTCTGTAGTAACCTGCAAAACCAAGGAACATCTGCATTTCTTTTGTATTTTGGGGAGTGGGCTTGAGTAAGACTGCAGCAACTCTATGCTTATCTATACCTAAGGATAGACCATTAACAATATGACCTAGAGCTTTAAGTTCCTGAAAACCAAACTGGCATTTTGACAAAGATATTTTCATATTCATCTTGATAATTTTCTGAAGAATAATTTCCAAGTGTGACAAATGATCTTCCCAGTTATCTGAAAAAATTATAATGTCATCTATGTATATAATAAGCCAGAGTTGATTCAACTCATGTGAAAATTCAGTGTCCATCATACGCTGAAAATGTGAAGGGGCATTTTTGATACCAAAAGGCATTCTAAGGTACTCAAAAATACCTAAGTGACAAACAATCCTGAGGAATTGTCTACTGTCCTTGTGAATCACATTTTGATGAAACCCCTTAAGGACATCCATGCATGTAATGTACTTAGCTTTATGTAATTTAGTTAAAGACTCCATAATTTTGGGCATAGGATACCTATCTGGGTTGGTGTAACTGTTAAGAGCTCTAAAGTCACCCACTAATCTGGACTTATTATTATGCCA